TAAATTTTTACTAAGTTTGGGCAGGTGCCTTGCATGGTTCTTCGAGTCCCGTTTGCGCCTCGCCCATTTAGGGTCTCCGAATAATTGACTTTATAATTAGACTTTGTACATATACTGTAGTGGACCCTAATAAAAACAATAATAATAATAATAATAAATAAGGGAGTACAGGACAACAGCATTTTTGGACCAGGAGCAGTTTCGAAAAATACAACCATAGACCCTTTGGCAGGAATCAAACCTACGGCCCTGCGATTCCAGAGCAGCGCTCTAACAAATCGAGCTACAGAGGCCAGTTGTCAAACTCTAACCACAAGTACATGAACTTGCGGTTAGAGCTCGACAACTGTCTCTCTGGATTATTTAGTTAGAGAGCTGCACCGGAAACGCAGAGCCGCAGGTCTTGCGATTCCTGCCCTAGGGCCGAAAGTTGTATTTTTCGCAACAGCTTCTGGTAGTAGGTCTCATTTACAAATTCCTTCATTCTTTTATGTATTTATTGACAGCACCGATCAGAGGCCCACAGAACATAAGATTTCCTCGAAAGAACGGCACGTCAATTCTCGTAACGTGGTTGCCGCCCAAAGAGGAAGACAGAAATGGCGTCATACAGCGCTACAGCGTGTGTCACAAATTAGCGAAAGCTAGAATTCCCTGTATTAATTATACCGTCACTGACAACATGTGGTTCCAAGTCAACGGGCTCAAGCCATATCGGTATATTCAATTTCTAATCAAAGCTGCCACGTCGGTTGGTTTTGGACCTACAAGTACTGCTTTTCAATATACTTCGCAAACTGGTAAGTACCCTCAGAGCGGATTTTTGCTTTGTTGCTATTAGGCCAAGAAAAATATTTTGTTTCTTGGCAGCCCGCGTCATCTTTGACTATATGCGCGTCAACGTGTTTTTTTTTTATGAAAACCGGTGATCATCTCAAGGATCATCTCCTTGGTTAATATACTCAAGGAAATTGTCCTCCTAAATTTATATACTATTATTGCAATTATGATTTCAAATTATTCGAGACTTTGGAATGAATGAATAATGTGCGTGGAAAGCTACAGTATAGGTCCACCTGGTTCAAGGACGATGGATAATACACGATATATATACATCAATACATCAATTTTAATTTAATTTAACAGCTTTGATTTGACACGTAGATAACTATAGACAATATTGTACGTAACTTACACTGACAATTCTTTTGCTCTAAGCTAGCTGACACCAAACAAGGGGCAAATAAACAAGCTAACAGATTTAAACGCTTACATTCTTATAATAACATTTGTCTGTCTCTTCGACTTGATCTTCTTCTGCTTAGTTATTATTGAGCCTAATATTAAAAGGATGCTGCTTAGTGTCACCGGGTCCAGGTGCATTGGGGTGAATTTTGTTAACTTTCATTGTTAACATGCCATCCGCGCGATTAACAAAGATTTTTTGGTCGTTAATTTCGACCTTAAAACTTTGCGGGTTTCTATTGGCGTCAAGAATCAATGTGTCTTGGCCATGCTGAAGGATCCATTGGCCACTAATCAATTCGCCAAGCTGATTCCATGTGGCACCAACCAAGGCGTACACAGCAAAAGAATGCAGTGTTGGAATGCTGATCATCCGTTCATGCAATAAAGGACTCAAAGATTTATAATAACCAATGCCCAGCCATGGATTATTTGCATCCTGAGGAAGACTGACGTTGTGTGGAAATGTGTTGTTACTTCCTGCTATTAAGACTAGCACATGCGAATTTTTTGTAGATGAAACGAAGTGATAAGTAGGAAGGTCTGGATAGCCATGTAGATAGTTATGCTCGTGGAAGACAATTTGTTGTACTTGATTTGGCTGTGGCCATCCCTGATCTGCCATACTGAATGTATAACTAACAAATAAAAATACAAAAATATTATGCACACTTTTATTGAGTTTTTCCGACGGAACCTCCCCTTACTACAGGCCGAAAAAATCCACCGTTACAGTAAATCTTAAACTGCAGTGCATGTTCAATAAATAGATTATATATGATAATTGCTGACACTGAACAGCTAGCTAGCATTTATCAAGCATCTATAAAAAGGGTCCATACTATATATATACTGAGTGTGGAGAGATGACTTTGCATGCAAGGTTGAAATACATTTCTCCTCTTTTGCGTGACACTGCCATTGGCTTAACCGAAATTATCAGTTTTGAAAAGTGCACAAATTATATACAGTGGGCTAACTATATCCATGCAAATTTAACCAAAATTTAATTAATCAAAATTGATTGAAGAGTGTTGCTCCAAGTTATCTAATATTGCGTAACCATACTAACATGGTTTGCCACCTGTTGGCCAAGCGCGTCCCCAACCAATGAACAAGATTATAATTTTCTCCCTTCAAATAGATTCTCTCAATCGCCTTTTCTCCTAACCGTTATATCCAGTTTATATACATGACAAGTAAAATCGAAGAGAAATAATGAAGTAATATGTATTAGCCTAATTCGTAATCTATTTAGTCATTTGCAAATGGTCTGAAAATTTATATAGGACATACATATATAGCAGTAACTAGCAGTTTTGCAAATCACATTTAAAGGAAAGCTTTTCGTAACGCCGGAAATTGCAAAATTACTAGGGGATAAATTACTCTAAAAAGCGTCCGAGGATTTTTTTAAAATTTCAATGAACTAAAATGCCATTGTATCTAGGGACTAAAAACTTTCGGCGGATTTTTGCGATTTTTAGGAGATTTTTTAGAAATTCCAAACTGATTATCAAAGAGACTTTTAATCAATTTCTGGAATTTTTGTGGATTTTTCGAGATTCTGGAGGTTTTGAGATTTTACAAATCGAGTTGACCAGTTGCGGAAATTTTGGAAGATTTCTTTGCATTTTGAATTTCGAGTGATACTTACATCTTTCTGTAAAAAGTCTACAAAATAGAATCCTTTAAGATAAGCTGGAGAATTAATCCAGGAGGGTTTTCGTCGATCTTCAAGCTGTATATAATAAAAAATGTTAATAGTATTACTGAAGCATTTATATATCCAAATTTATAAGAAAACATTGTCTCCAGAGAGCTTAAATTGTACGGTACGTCACAAGCAAAGTAGTTTACAGTAAAAATGTATAAGAAATTCACGTTAAAGCACTTACCAATGGCGATATAACTCTCTGGGGCAGTGTGCTGAACGCAAATGCGAGGAAACTCAGAAAGACGCTTAAATTAATTGGTCGGTTGCCATGCATTTTGCTCCCGGAAGCGCGGGCGCGATTAGCGCAGCGGTTATTACCATTTCCCTCCAAAATTTCGAACAACATGGCGGAACCAAGCAGTGATTTTGCTGAATGCTTTTCAAATCTTAAACTTGGCTCTTCTGGCGACGACACCGAAAGGTCGAAACGGTTTTGGAATGCTTCAACAGTGGAGTTGAAGTTTGGTGTTGAGCGAAAATGGCTGGACGCTGTATGGAAATGCCAGAGCAAACCGAATATGGGAATGCGCAATCTCGATCCGATTTTAGAAGAGCGAGCTTCCTATAAATTGGAAATTGTTGGGCCGCTCATCGACTCCTACCTTACCGAAATTGGCAGGGCAATGTTTGCGAAACTCGGAAGGTCGAGGAAT